TGGGGCTTAGGTGCAGAAAGGCTGCAGTTGACTGAGCATGTGAGCAGCCCTGTAAAGCTGGAGGAAGAGGTGACTAGTTACAGGCAATGATTTTTGTGGCCAGTATAAAAGCCACATGCTGAAGAATCAGCACAGGGTACTGGGATTGGACTGGGATCCCCTGCACTGATTTAGAGGGCTGAGACAGAGACCTTATGAACACAAAGGGCCTCTCTCACTTCACCTCAGCTCTGTGCGAGTATGAGGAGTGTTCAGTACTGGTTATTCCCTCAGATATGCAGCAGCACGAGTGCGCCATGAGCTGGAAGGCACACGATGGGGAAGTCTACTCCGTTGAGTTCAGCTATGATGAGAACACAGTCTACAGCATAGGCGAGGATGGCAAGGTAGGCTCTGGGTGACCTTCTACTGATCAGCTGGCAGTGAGATCCCCTCCGGAGTTTTCTCCATATGGTGGAGATAGCAATAAGAATACCCTCAGAATCTGGGGGATCTGCGGGCTGCTAGCTGTAATCTTAGGTGTGCAGCAGCACCCCGCTGCATGCAGTCTCTCCAGAGAGAGTGGATAGAAAGCATTTTAACAGCTGGAGCTGTCTTGGACCTTGTCTGCAAATCCTGCTGTGGGTGATAACCCCTTCTCAGGGAATCTGTTTGAAGATGACCTTTCTTTGCCCCTGAGATCACCACATTTGAGATCTGGGATTCACCAGGGAGCAGATCCTTGACCACTTTGCATAAATTTCCTTGTCAGAATCTCCCTGTTGCTTATAATAAAGGTTTCAATTTCTGCGTTTCCAGAGTCTTCAGCAGTAGAGGTGTGGTTCAGGGAGAGAGTCACCTGCCTAAAAGTGTGAGTCTTTGGCTGATGAGAGTTAAGTGAATTCCCACCAGGATCCTGCATGCAATGTGGAAGGACACATAGGCAGCAGTGCTCGTGGAAGTTAGGGCGTATATTTGCCTGGATAGTAGGCAGTCTTACAGCCTTTGCAGCCTGTGTTTTATAAATATAGCCACTTAGATATAGGTATCAAAATGTGCTCTTCTGTTTGGGAAGAGTAGCTGCCTTGCTTAATAATAATGAATGGCCCCTCTACTTTAATCGCAGTCAATTTAACTGTGGGCTTCTACCATCTCTTCTTGTCATTCTAGTTTATTCAGTGGAATATTCACAAAAGTGGCTTGAAGGTGTCTGAGTATGATCTTCCCAGTGAAGCTACAGGTCCTTTTGTTCTGTCTGGATACAGTGGCTACAAGCAAGTTCAGTTCCCACGAGGAAGGCTTTTTGCTTTTGACTCTGAGGGAAACTACATGTTGACATGTTCTTCCACAGGGGGAGTAATTTTTAAGGTAGGTCTGAGAAGCGATGGGGAGTACTCTTACGCCTCCGTAGAAGCTCTTGTTACAAGGCTGCAACAGCAGCCACTGGAAGTTCTCAAGCAGCACCTACTGATACCCATTCCTGCCTTGTGAAAGTTGCTGCTCAGTTTCATACAGTGTGTATTTTAGCAGTGTGTGGGGTTCAAGTGTTTGAACCCTCTGTAAGCATTAAGCCCTCTGTATGTAGCTTGTTCTTAAAGCATAGCTGCAGCACTTTTCCTTAGTGCCCAAGTTCCTTGGATAGAGTTTTAATTTCTTTAAATATATCGACGCATGCCTGTTCAATGCAAAATGCATGATTCTTGATTGATGCTCATCTTTAATCTAGTTGTGTGCTTGCTGAAGCTGTTAGTCCCGGCCTGATTTTCTCTCCTCTACTGTGTACTGAAATGAGATGAAGGGTAAGGCTGAATAGTTCCAAGTGCCCAAGTTTCTGTGCCGCAGTAACAAGTGGTAACTGATCACATGTCCCTTGCCTGCCTCCTCTTGAGTCAATACCCATCAGGATAAGCCATTGCAAGGCAGATTAGATGGAATTTTTCCTTTGCGTTTGGGGCATTCAGAGTGCCTGCACTAACAGGAGCTATAGGCTTATGTGCTCCTCATCAGAGTTTGCTCTTAGCCTGCCGTGTTCAATTACTTCAGCTCAGCTGATGTCAGAAGCTGAGCTGCTTGAACACGTGCTTCTGTCATGAGACTGGAAACTTAACTTCATTGTGTGCTACATACATCTCTGATTTTCTGCTTAATTATGTATGCTGATAGGGATATGGAATCTGTAGCAGGCTTTGGCTTCTCCTGTGGGTGGGCTGCCCCCACTGTAGAAACTTGCCTCCTTAAAAATCTTACGTTTTCCTTCTTTTAGTTAAATGGTGAGGACAAAGTTCTGGAGAGCTGCCTTTCCCTGGGAGGACACCGAGCTCCCGTTGTCACAGTGGATTGGAGCACGGCTATGGACTGTGGGACCTGCCTCACTGCCTCGATGGATGGGAAGATTAAATTAACAACCTTACTGGCTCAAAAGTCTTAACCTGGACAGTAGTGAAGGGAAAGATCAACAGACTCGACAAAACCAGTGTTAACTCCACAGGAACAAACTGCATGGGAGAGAAGGCAAACCACAATCATCGTAGCTTTTGCCTCTTGACAAACGTTAAAAACATTTGCCAAACCACTGTGCAATAGAATGCCGGTGTGGGACCAGATCAGTGGCAGCACTGAAAAATAAGTCTTCGCTGACCCATTGTGGCAGCTGGACTTCATCTGTTAGGGAGTCTTGAGTAGCACGTGGCTACAAGGCTGCTGGGATCATGTCAGGGGTTCTGCAGAAGGTGGTGAGGCTGGAAGAGGCGTGTATGAGGCAGCACAGTGCATGATGATAAGATGGCTCAAACTGGAAAGGCCAGTGTGAAACTAGAGTATCCTTTCAGTATAGCATTTATTGTTGTGTTTGGAGGGGGGGGGGGGGGGCGGGGTGTTGTTGTTTTTAGTTTGGATTTTTTTTGTTTATTTTTTTGCCATAAAAAGAAAATATTCCCTTGCACTTGATTCCTGTGCTCAGTTAAATTTTTGCTGCAAAACATGGAGGGGGGCTGGGACGGTGGTGTGCCAAGGAAGTCTTCTGAATGGAGAAAAGACCCACGTGCTTTCACCGGGTGCTTCTGGCACCGACACTCGCAAACTGGGGGGAGCCAGTGCAAGACATCCAGGAACAAAAATAATTGTGTTCTTTTGGATGTATTGTGTTCCCTTGTGATAGATGCTGCCAACTAGAGGAGAGATCCTGGGTCAGGCTTTTTGAAATGCTTGTGTTGGAGTTCAGAGGCTACATGATGCCTAGCAGCTACTTGATGGCAGATAGGAGGGAGGGCCAGAACCACTCTGGTCCTGTAGAGTGGTCTCTGTCACTGGAACTGCGTCTCCCCCTGCACACCTCCAACATCAGGGCAGGTGCTGTGCTCAGGTATTGCATAGCCTTTGAATAGACTGAGCAACCAGATGTCATCTCCTTACACATCACAGCGGAGTTTACTGCTGCTTTTGTCCTTGCCCTTTATTGAGAGTTTACAGTACTATTGTGCCTTGGCAGAGCTCTCATTCTCAATTATGGGAGGAATGGATCCAGTCAATTGTTTGAAGAGACCTTTGGTATTTTCCAAAGGCCATTTTGGTTTTAGAGCTTGGACATCTGTTAACATTTACCAATGTGATGGGGGATTGCCTGGAAAAGAAGTGGAACGTTATTTTACTTGGGTTTTGCCAAGTGTGCTTTGGCATGTTTGAAGAGTGGCCTGCCAAAGTTGCAATGCATATCTTAGCTATCTCCCTTGCACTTGAAGAGATGGGGACTGGGCCAGGTAGACCTCCATAGCTGGCAGCTTCCCCTGCTGCCCAGCCAGACCTGGAACATGATGGTTCTTCTCCACCTCCAGGTCTCAAAGCAGGGGCTGGAAGTGAAGATTGGCTTGGCTAACAGACATTCTTCACTGGTGGCATCACACCTCACAACGTGACTTGGTGACTGAGAAAGTGGTTGCAATCTCTGTGCCTGGACATGTTGGCTACAGTTTGCAGTTGTTCTGACTGTTTTATGTAGCCCAACAAAGACTTAAGATGAGGTCAGATTTGGGCAAAAAGCTCACTAAAGCAGGCGGGAGGTCTAGCTGAACAAACGGCCTGCAGCGTGACGTTTCCAGATCGCTGAAATGCAGCCTCATTGAGGTTGGAAGGGGCCTCATGTGGTCACTTGAGGCAGGCAGGGTCAACCAGGGCAGGTCATGCAGGACCACGTCCAATTTGGGGCATATCCAAGCATGGAGGCTCCACAACCTCTGTGGCACGACCAAGCCAGCAGCAGGCTGAGCTGGGGCCGCCAGGCCCTGCCTAAGCTCTGTCGTGGTGTCTCTGGCTCAGCTGTGCCTGGCCATGGACCTCGCTGCTCCAGACCTCCCTAGGGCCCTGCTTGACCATCACTGGGCTGTGTCTGACCCTGCTTGCCACCACCACGCCTGACTTCTGGCTTGCCCTCAGAGCTGCCACCTCACCAGGCACGTGTTTGTCCCTTTAGGCTCTTGGCTGCCCCGGCTGCCCGCCCTAGGGCCACCCTGCTCCCCTCGCTCGCATAGGCCAAGGCTGGGCCCTGCCCTGCTGGCTGGGGGACTGACCCCCTTGGGCTCCCTGTCCCCAAGGGAGCAGTCTCTCACCCCCTTCACAAAAGAAAAGCTTTTTCCTTCGGTTGAGGCGGGACTCACCCTGCTTCAGCTTGTCACCACTTATTTACACCTTTGCCTTTCAGCAGTCTACATGTCCATCAGATTCCCTACCACCTTCTGCCCAGACCACCAGGAGGATTGCTCTAAAAAGGCGGGAAGAGTCTGGTAACTTATTATTAGCAGTAGCTCAGCACTAGGCCCTGATCTGGGCACAATCACAGTTCAAGTCTCCCCAGAGGAAAAGAACGTAGATGCGTATTCCCTCTTGGAGTTGTCCGCAGGACTGATTTTCATTCAGAGCAAGGGCAGAGAGAAACACACCAACTGCCTGCACTGAAAGAGAACCTCAGTGAGCCTTCAGAGACAGGACTCTTCTCATCCAAACCTGCTAGGGACAAAGTGCTCCGGTTGTGCAGCAAAACAGACTAAAACACAGTTTATTAAATACTAAGCTGCAACAGAACACTTGGAATTAGATGCAGGGTCATGGCTGCACATGGTGGAAGGCAAAGTTTTCCAGGCTTCCTTCATCTTCCTGTGAGCACTCTGTTTTCTGGCACTGGAACTTCCTCTTCTCTAGCATCTTCTCATCACTAACGGTATGGGAGGTTCACCTGTGAGTGGGGAAGGGCAGGAAAAGAAAAGGCTGTGCCTTACTTTTACAGCAGGCTGGGCCAAAGGCAGCACTGAAAGTAGATCCTGGAAGTACAGCACTAATGTGCAGATCCAGATACCAAAAACCAAATGCTCGAACATGTCAGCAACAAAGTTACAGTACAGACTCACGTGGAAAACTGCGTTATGTGGAGATATGGATCAACTTGCGTTTTTTTCCCTATTTCTTGTCCAGCTCTTTCCCCCAGTTGTCTTTTTTGGCTGTGACCTACCATGTTAGCCTCCCAGTGCCTTCTGAGGTTAAGCCCTGGTTCTTTCTGAGTCTCACACAAAGTAGACAACTTTTCTTGCGAGTTCTGGTTTTGTCTTGCCTGCTGCATGTGTGTTTTTGACTGCATCTCCAGGTGTTGGGGAAAAATCATCAACTTGTATGCAGCAAAACAAGCAACTCAAAGACAGAGCTCTAAAGTTCCTCACTTCTGTGGAAGTCCATCAGGTGGGTGGCCAGGGAGACTGTGTTTGGCACGTGCTGACAGTAGTAGATAATTAGCAACACAGACAAAAAGTATAGGAAAAGAATCATGCCTGTTGCAGCAGAAAAAAATAATCACCTTAAATCCACCAAATGAGCCAGAACTCACCTTTCGCCTTAGTTTGCCAGCTTTGCTGCCCACCTCAGAACAGATATTCCTCATCTCTGCCTGGAATCTGACGCTTTCCCCTTACATAACACTCAGCTTTGTCTGAGCTCTCCAGAAGGTTCTTCAACCTGCACAGCAAGTTAGTAAGGAGAGTGTGAAGCAAAGCAACAATTGGCCTTTCTTATGTAAGCAGCACTGCCATGGCTTGCTTCATCTGTAACATGCTTGACAGGCCAGAAGTTCCTGAAAGCAGCCAGCACTCCAGTGCCAGACATGATTGGGAGGGCCCAAAGTTTACCTGAACAGAGGAAGAAAATGCTTTCTTCCCTCTCAGGAGAACTGCAGGCAGCCTGCATTTGCAAGGCTTTTTGCAGCTTTTTAAAACCCTAGGCTCATGCACAGAAGCACCTTTCAAGATTGAATGCAAGGCCTGAATTTGTTTGCAAACAATGCTTTTACATTAGAGTTCAGTTAAGCTCAACTTCTACTCAATATGATGTTTCTGTAAAGCACTAAAAAGCCATGCCTGGTACGCTCTTGCTCCATTGCAATGTTTCTTCTCCCCGTTTTCTTCAGAAGTGCTTCTGTTCGGCATTTCATCACAGCTAGATTCTTCACTTCCTCGATTTCACTCTCACGCTTTCAAAATAGAAAAGATACATCACACAGAGAGCAGGGGAACAGGATCCATATGCAGAACATGCAGACAGTGCTTTGGATCTCCCAACTCCAGTGTCCTCTCGCAGCTCTCAACCACAGATCTCTCTCCTGTCCACAGCACACAGTTGATCCATCAAAGGAATCATGCTGATGAACGCAAGTGCCCACATATTGTCCACCAAACAGATTCAAAACACAGTAGCACCAGGGGAATGAGGAAATGTATAGATTTTTCCCCTGAGGGTACCCTGCTCAAAAACCTGGGGGGTTCTCCACAGCTCACCCAATCTTTTCATAAATCACTTGCCCACAAGAAATTCCAAGCCTAAAACCAGTCATTCCCAAAAGCCGCTCAGGTGTTCCTTTGCAGACGGTGTCTGAAAGCGAGTTATCAAGTCCTCTGGGACATTATGAGCCTACAGCAGCATTAAAGGAAGGAAAAATAAGTCACGCTAGGACTTCCTTGACTGAAGAGCACACCTCACAGCCTTTCTTCTTCTCTTGCCAGTATCGGTACAACACAGTGTTTGTCTCTCCCGCAACACTACCCAAGCACACAAAATCCTGCCCTTGGAGGTGTTGTTCCCTTATTAGTTGTGGATTTTCATCTTTGGAGGTCTCATTGCATTAGGGACCCAGAGCTTCTGGCCAAGGAATACATAATCACTGAAATGGGAAGGTGACTAGAGTACAAGCAACGGAAGAACTCCTGTCACAGTCTGATGATGCCAGTCAGGCCTCCAGGATGAAGCGCTTGGCAGCACCAGAGCCCAAGGAAAGTCCACAACCAAAGGTACCAAAGCCCTCTACTACATGACTGTCTGAGGTGCTGCCAGAGGTCTCAACCTCATGACTGGTCTAAAGCAGAAAATACTTAATAAGCCAGTGCATTACTGGCAACTGCCTTAACGAAGATGGCATTATGTAGGACTTGCTGGAGCCTCACGGGACAACTCTCAAAGCCAGAAAGCTGGGAAATGAGCCAGTAGGACTTTCAGGGCAGCCTACAGTCAGGAGAACAGAGGAACGGATCTCTCCCAGGCCCCCCAGGAAAACCTCTTCGAATTTCCCCACAGGAATACCGACCTAAGCTCTGTAGCTCATGAAAAGGGAAGGCTCTGACTAGCTTACTGAGGCAGAGGCTTGCTGGTCTTTCTGAAGGGCTTCAGTGGTCTTGGCTTGTTGCTGTGCTGTGGCTTCCAGCCTGGTCATTACAACTTGGTGCCTGGAAAAGAAGTATAGACCTTATCGCAGAAGTCCACAAGAGCACAAATCCCAAAAGAAGAGTGTGAAAGAACCTTATCTAAAGCAAAAGCATCTTTGAAAACTCTATTATTATCTTGCTGGGGTGCAAGACAGTCATTTTGTTTTCACACAGTCACAGAAAGTGAAGCCTGGCTTCACTGTGTTACTTCCTTACTGTTGCACTTGTTCTTCCAGCTCTGGGATAGCCACAGCTGCAGAAGGCACGGCCAGAATGGCCTGCACGTTCCTGGAAGTTGTTAGTTCCTTCTCCTTTATGGCATTCTTCAGGGACTCGGCATAACACTCCGTGCAGATACACCTTTCTTTCACTTCCTGCAGCTGTCAGAGCACAACAATCCCCAGTAGTCAGGCTTTGGTTTGATAAAAGGGAGTGAACTGCTTTGACTCTCATGTTGACTCTCAAAACCCATGTTACTTCATCTTTTAGACTGGCCCCTCTCCTATGTCTATACTGGTTTCCTACAGCATTTCCTAAATGCTGCCATGACACTTCTCTCTCAAGGATTCCAAACACTCTTTGTAGTCAATTGTTGGCTCCTCCAACACAGTTAGAAGCTCCGCCTGCTCCTAAAGTGACTTTGCAACTCCATAACAAGGACGACACGAGGAGGGAATACAAAAAAGCACCAGTGCAACACTCCAGTGTGCCTGTTCCTCCTCAGGCAGCACACACTCTGCTTTGCCAAAACCAAAGAAGCAAATACACTTGCTCTGTGAAACCTGAGAAGCAGCTTTTTGAAAGGAATACGCCCCCCCTTCTCCAATTAAGGACAAAGTGACTTCACAGTTAGTGACCTTTCTAATCGTAGGCGCCAGGCTTATAAAACGAGGCGAGTCACTTACATGTCACTTAATCTACTCCCGTTGCAAAGTTGTCTAGTATATTAAGACCACCTTAACGCAGCCCTCTGCTGTTACTTCCAGTGGTGCAAACAAGCAGGCACCAAAGGCAGCAGGGCTGTTCCCTCCCAGCTCCCTCATCACAGCTAGCTGCACACGGAATCACCCTGGGTTACACAAAACCCCCAAGAAAGGGTCAGTTCCCTGCTCTGATTTGCTACAAAAAAGGCCAGGGCCCCTGTCAAGAGACAGGCTTTCTCCATACCTTGGCTTTAGATCTGTCTAGTTCCTTCTGCAACCGCAGTTTTTGTTCCTGCAGGTCCCTGCTGTAGCACTTCTTAGCTTCAAGTGAAGCTTCTGCCAGGGAGTTCTTCCTGAGAGCATCGGCAAGATCTTGCTGCAGCCGCATGACCCATTTCTAGAGAAACGGTGTTCCATGAACATGGAGAAATTGGTAAGAAGATGGCAAGACGAGAAATGCTTTTAGTCATAGGATTATATAATTAGATTGGTCTTCAGGGTGGCCAGCAGGTCGCGGGAGGCGAGTCTCCCCTTCCACTCTGCTCTCATGAGACCCCACCTGGAGTACTACATCCAGCTCTGGGGTCCCCAGCACAAGGAAGACATGGACCGGTTGGAGCGGGTCCAGAGGAGGGCCACAAAAATGATTAGAGGGATGGAACTCCTCTCCCATGAAGAAAGGCTGAGAGAGTTGGGGTTGTTCAGCCTGGGGAAAAGCAGGCTCTGGGGAGATCTTATAGCATATATAGAAATACAGAAATAGCAATATCGAAAGATGGAGAGACACTTTTTACCAAGGTCCATAGTGACAGGACAAGGGCAACAGTTTTAAACTAAAAGAGGGTAGAGTTAGATTGGACAGAAGGAAAACATTTTTGAAACAAGGGTGGTGAGACAGTGGACCAGATTGCCCAAAGAAGTTGGGGGATGCCCCATCCCTAGAAGTGTTCAAAGTCAGGTTGGATGGGACGTTGAGCAACCTCTGCAGCTTTTCTGCTTCAGAATAGGAACGAGATGAGGTCTGAAATACACTTCAGGTCCACAATCAATGACCTCCTCTCAGCATCACTCCACAAGGAACTCAGTAGCAAGAACAGGTCTCCATACAGTGACAGGCTCTATTTGTGGCTGTCTGTGTCAGTCTCTTATAAAGTCACCTGTCTGTCACAGTGACAATCTGCTTGAATTGAAGCATCCTTCTTTAGCTGAACCTCTTCTCCAGTGCAGAAACTGGAGTTAGCATTGTCACAGACAGGCACTGGGGAAAGGAATCCCCAGCAACATTGCAGCATCACACTGCATTTCAGTATCAGGGCTACAGAAGCGTGACTTCTGCATTACCTCTCTAAGAAAAAGTACTTTATTCTCAGAACAGGAGTCAAAACCTTCCTCTTGCTCTGCTCTTCCTACCGGCAACACACCTACAAAGGAGGCAAGAAGCACAACGCTGCTTATTTCACTCTGCTTCTCCCCATCTGCCTCACTCCAGAGAAGCTTATAAAGGTAACCATTTAGTATGCCAGGAACTTGCCATTGCCACGCTCCTCTGCACCAGAGTGCGCATGTGCTCTGTGTTCATCCGCAGGTGGAAGCAGGATGCCAGCTGACTCTTTCTTTAGATCTTCAGAATCCAACTGAGGAATTGAGAAGACATGAACGAAAATTAGCACAGACTCCTCCTCGACCCATTTCTAAACACAAAGCTCCTGCTTCAGCCAATGTGCTGTGATATGGTAACGGGTGGCAGAAAGTATGAAAAGGGCAAACAGAGCCAGCATGTTAGGCATCTCTGTTGAACTGGGCTTTCAAAAGGGGATGAAACACACTTGCCCAAGATAGAGAGGACCTACTCATAAGCAGCTAAGCATCTGGACTGTAGGCCCTATGGGCAACCATTTGACATTGACTGGATCCAAAGAAGAGCTGTGTGGTGGAAAACCAGCAATCCTCACAGTGACAGCTTTCTAGGATTTCAGAGGATCGTAACCAGCAGGAAGCTTTGCTATTTCAGTCCTGTATTAAAAATCCAGCTCAGAGATCAGCTCTAGGAGACCCAGGTCATTAGCTTGCCCTTACTTTGTCCCAGACCTCACTGAACAGCTTGCCTGCAGCACCAGCATGTCAGATCCCAGTTACAGGCATGTGGTAGAAGCAGCCACAGAAGGAAACGAGACCAAAAGCAAGTGAGCCAAGTGAGGCACCACTGCCTCCTTCAGAGAAGGTACCTCAAAATCAGACCAGGAATCTTCATCTTTCTCTTCCTCTGCTCCTGCTGCTGGCAAGACACCTACAAAGGAGGCAAGAAGCACAACGCTGCTGTGAATGCTTATTTCACTCTGCTTCTCACCATCTGCCTCACTCCAGAGAAGCTTATAAAGGTAACCATTTAGTATGCCAGGAACTTGCCATTGCCACGCTCCTCTGCACCAGAGTGCGCATGTGCTCTGTGTTCATCCGCAGGTGGAAGCAGGATGCCAGCTGACTCTTTCTTTAGATCTTCAGAATCCAACTGAGGAATTGAGAAGACATGAACGAAAATTAGCACAGACTCCTCCTCGACCCATTTCTAAACACAAAGCTCCTGCTTCAGCCAATGTGCTGTGATGTGGTAACGGGTGACAGAAAGTATGAAAAGGGCAAACAGAGCCAGCATGTTAGGCATCTCTGTTGAACTGGGCTTTCAAAAGGGGATGAAACACACTTGCCCAAGATAGAGAGGACCTACTCATAGGCAGCTAAGCATCTGGACTGTAGGCCCTATGGGCAACCATTTGACATTGACTGGATCCAAAGAAGAGCTGTGTGGTGGAAAACCAGCAATCCTCACAGTGACAGCTTTCTAGGATTTCAGAGGATCGTAACCAGCAGGAAGCTTTGCTATTTCAGTCCTGTATTAAAAATCCAGCTCAGAGATCAGCTCTAGGAGACCCAGGTCATTAGCTTGCCCTTACTTTGTCCCAGACCTCACTGAACAGCTTGCCTGCAGCACCAGCATGTCAGGGCCCAGTTACAGGCATGTGGTAGAAGCAGCCACAGAAGGAAACGAGACCAAAAGCAAGTGAGCCAAGTGAGGCACCACTGCCTCCTTCAGAGAAGGTACCTCAAAATCAGACCAGGAATCTACATCTTTCTCTTCCTCTGCTCCTGCTGCTGGCAACACACCTACAAAGGAGGCAAGAAGCACAACGCTGCTGTGAGTGCTTATTTCACTCTGCTTCTCACCATCTGCCTCACTCCAGAGAAGCTTATAAAGGTAACCATTTAGTATGCCAGGAACTTGCCATTGCCACGCTCCTCTGCACCAGAGTGCGCATGTGCTCTGTGTTCATCCGCAGGTGGAAGCAGGATGCCAGCTGACTCTTTCTTTAGATCTTCAGAATCCAACTGAGGAATTTAGAAGACATGAACGAAAATTAGCACAGACTCCTCCTCGACCCATTTCTAAACACAAAGCTCCTGCTTCAGCCAATGTGCTGTGATGTGGTAACGGGTGGCAGAAAGTATGAAAAGGGCAAACAGAGCCAGCATGTTAGGCATCTCTGTTGAACTGGGCTTTCAAAAGGGGATGAAACACACTTGCCCAAGATAGAGAGGACCTACTCATAGGCAGCTAAGCATCTGGACTGTAGGCCCTATGGGCAACCATTTGACATTGACTGGATCCAAAGAAGAGCTGTGTGGTGGAAAACCAGCAATCCTCACAGTGACAGCTTTCTAGGATTTCAGAGGATCGTAACCAGCAGGAAGCTTTGCTATTTCAGTCCTGTATTAGAAATCCAGCTCAGAGATCAGCTCTAGGAGACCCAGGTCATTAGCTTGCCCTCACTTTGTCCCAGACCTCACTGAACAGCTTGCCTGCAGCACCAGCATGTCAGGGCCCAGTTACAGGCATGTGGTAGAAGCAGCCACAGAAGGAAACGAGACCAAAAGCAAGTGAGCCAAGTGAGGCACCACTGCCTCCTTCAGAGAAGGTACCTCAAAATCAGACCAGGAATCTACATCTTTCTCTTCCTCTGCTCCTGCTGCTGGCAACACACCTACAAAGGAGGCAAGAAGCACAACGCTGCTGTGAGTGCTTATTTCACTCTGCCTCTCCCCATCTGCCTCACTCCAGAGAAGCTTATAAAGGTAACCATTTAGTATGCCAGGAACTTGCCATTGCCACGCTCCTCTGCACCAGAGTGCACATGTGCTCTGTGTTCATCCGCAGGTGGAAGCAGGATGCCAGCTGACTCTTTCTTTAGATCTTCAGAATCCAACTGAGGAATTTAGAAGACATGAACGAAAATTAGCACAGACTCCTCCTCGACCCATTTCTAAACACAAAGCTCCTGCTTCAGCCAATGTGCTGTGATGTGGTAACGGGTGGCAGAAAGTATGAAAAGGGCAAACAGAGCCAGCATGTTAGGCATCTCTGTTGAACTGGGCTTTCAAAAGGGGATGAAACACACTTGCCCAAGATAGAGAGGACCTACTCATAAGCAGCTAAGCATCTGGACTGTAGGCCCTATGGGCAACCATTTGACATTGACTGGATCCAAAGAAGAGCTGTGTGGTGGAAAACCAGCAATCCTCACAGTGACAGCTTTCTAGGATTTCAGAGGATCGTAACCAGCAGGAAGCTTTACTGTTTCAGTCCTGTATTAGAAATCCAGCTCAGAGATCAGCTCTAGGAGACCCAGGTCATTAGCTTGCCCTCTACTTTGTCCCAGACCTCACTGAACAGCTTGCCTGCAGCACCAGCATGTCAGGGCCCAGTTACAGGCATGTGGTAGAAGCAGCCACAGAAGGAAACGAGACCAAAAGCAAGTGAGCCAAGTGAGGCACCACTGCCTCCTTCAGAGAAGGTACCTCAAAATCAGACCAGGAATCTACATCTTTCTCTTCCTCTGCTCCTGCTGCTGGCAAGACACCTACAAAGGAGGCAAGAAGCACAACGCTGCTGTGAGTGCTTATTTCACTCTGCTTCTCCCCATCTGCCTCACTCCAGAGAAGCTTATAAAGGTAACCATTTAGTATGCCAGGAACTTGCCATTGCCACGCTCCTCTGCACCAGAGTGCACATGTGCTCTGTGTTCATCCGCAGGTGGAAGCAGGATGCCAGCTGACTCTTTCTTTAGATCTTCAGAATCCAACTGAGGAATTTAGAAGACATGAACGAAAATTAGCACAGACTCCTCCTCGACCCATTTCTAAACACAAAGCTCCTGCTTCAGCCAATGTGCTGTGATATGGTAACGGGTGGCAGAAAGTATGAAAAGGGCAAACAGAGCCAGCATGTTAGGCATCTCTGTTGAACTGGGCTTTCAAAAGGGGATGAAACACACTTGCCCAAGATAGAGAGGACCTACTCATAAGCAGCTAAGCATCTGGACTGTAGGCCCTACTGGGCAACCATTTGACATTGACTGGATCCAAAGAAGAGCTGTGTGGTGGAAAACCAGCAATCCTCACAGTGACAGCTTTCTAGGATTTCAGAGGATCGTAACCAGCAGGAAGCTTTACTGTTTCAGTCCTGTATTAGAAATCTAGCTCAGAGATCAGCTCTAGGAGACCCAGGTCATTAGCTTGCCCTCGCTTTGTCCCAGACCTCACTGAACAGCTTGCCTGCAGCACCAGCATGTCAGGTCCCAGTTACAGGCATGTGGTAGAAGCAGCCACAGAAGGAAACGAGACCAAAAGCAAGTGAGCCAAGTGAGGCACCACTGCCTCCTTCAGAGAAGGTACCTCAAAATCAGACCAGGAATCTACATCTTTCTCTTCCTCTGCTCCTGCTGCTGGCAAGACACCTACAAAGGAGGCAAGAAGCACAACGCTGCTGTGAGTGGTTATTTCACTGTATCTTTCCCCATCCCTCAAGTCCTGCATCCAATTGACTATTATTCTCCTACAGGCCACAGGGATTTGTCCTCATCACCTCCTCCACACTGAATCCTCCTACCTGCAGGTGCACCCGAGGTAAATTCAGCAGTCAGCGCAGAGCAAAACCTGCCATCTACTGCTGGGCCTTCTGTGCCTCTTGCAAAACATTCTCCCATCCCTTCATAGAACATGTATTTCTCCAGTTGGTCAGCAATACTATATATGGAAAGGAAGGAAATCCATTTGTTAAAAATACCCCCATACTTGCCTACATGCTCTACTGGAAGAGCAGCAGCCATTCATGAGCCATCCTACCCATATTCATAGCCAGTTGCTAACGGGTAACACACACACACAACTTACTGCACTACTGGAGTAGTGGAGACTGAAATACTCACTGCAGGCATGTTCACACTACAGGTGCCAATTCTTGTCTATGGAGTAACTCATCCCTGCGGGCTACAGCCTCATGTGATAAACCCCCTCTCCGTTTCGAGGGCCAGTGAGATAAACAACCCCCCTGTCAGACTGACATCTAACTACAGAGCCTCTACCTTAGCGTGAAGCTATACTAATGCTGCAGCTACTCTGCATGTCAAGCTGAGGTAACATCTCCTCAAACCCTGTCCTGACTTTGAAGGGCTTCAGAAATTCCCACGGTTATTCTGAGGACCTGAGAGTAGCAAGAGGCCAACAGCAATTGCAGTTGCATTTCAAGCACTGCAGGGGTTAACTACACTGCATAGGTGTTATCTTCTAACAGCCCTGACAGAGGGTCAGTTGGGGCTCCAGAGAGAGACCACTTTCAGTTTTGCTTCATAAGCAGAACTAAAAACCAAACAAAACCCCCCAAATAAACAAGAAAAGAAAAACATTAAAAACGTGCCCCAGACCAAGGCTGCTATGTAAAATGGTGCATTAGTGCAACACTGATACTGTGCCAGAAACCTAGAGGGAAGGAATTAACATCTTGTTTTGCTAGTGCAATCTTCAAACATGCTGTATTCCTGCAGGGGTTTTTACTCCACAGTTTACCCAGGCACCCTTCCCTCCTGCTTCCCATTGACACAGACTGACAGAAGGGGCAGGGGAGGAGAAATGAAGTCCAGATCCAGTGACAAGAGGTTACCGGCGGTTTATGGCTAGACAAGGCATGCTTGTAGGCATAATGCAGTTCATTCACCCATCACTAGGCTACCATCCCTAGGGAAGAGGGCTATTTCCTTCAGCGTAGCTGTTAAGCACACATAGCCACCTTAGTGAAGGAATGGCCAGGGGTGCAAAGCTACCCATGAGAGGAGGGAAAACTGCTGCAGAGTTTAACTCGGGGGATATCAGTTAGATTCCCTCTGAAACAAACCACAGGCAGGTGCTAGTCAGTTTAGTTCAGTGGAGCTTGGTAGCACACAGGTGGATTCTCAAGAGAGAAGTGCTGGGGGAAGTTTCCCCCCAACTTCCAAATCCACTCCTGACATGGAAACAGATGCATCAGAAGATGTCACTGAGCCCAGCTTCAACAAAGGTCTCGACACCTCATTAAACCCTGGTGATGTTACCCAAAAGGGCCATACATCAGCACAGACATTCTGAGAATGCAGCTGCTCTAACAAGGATGTAAAACACTTACTCATCATGTTGAAACTCCCTGGCATAGTACTCAGCTGTGCAGCCAAATGGGTCTTGATGAGAAAGATCAGCACCGTGATGAAGGAGAATTTGTATTATATTCATATCCCCAGCACAAGCAGCAAGCATAAGAGTGGTCCTAAAGCATCAAAGAAATGACAGGAAATACATCAGCTTCTGCAGACATTGCATTGCCATCACTTCAGTCCCTCTTTGCTCCCCAAACAATTCATTTTCCCTTTCCTATAGGCAGAGAGAAAGCACAGCCAAACATGGGGTAGCATCAGAGAATTCCAGTTGGTGGGACCTCAGGAGGTCTCCAGGCCAACCACTTGCCCAGAGCAGACTCAGGGCACGTGTATGCACGAGCGTGGCACCACAGCCAAAACTTTCTTGCAGTCCTCAGAAATCGTCTACTGAGCTAAGAGCACAGCCGAGTGTGGGTCTGCTTTCACACAGAATTTGCTCCTCTTAGGCAGCTCCTGGTTGTCTTTTGAAGCTCATTCCTACGCCTCCCATCAATCCAACTTGAACAATGCTAAGGAGTCCCCCGTGCATTTCTGACAAACCCTTCACCTTTTACGGTTATCTCGAGCGTGCACATCAGCTCCTTTTTGAAGAAGGAACTCGACCATCTCTTCACAGTGCTCGGTGATCGCAAGAGTAAGCGGAGTGTATCCCAACTGAAAGGGGAAGTCATCTCCCTTAGTACAACACATAAAAGTCAAGCAAGTTTGAGGAAGAGGAGCCTTACCCAAAGTCCAAGCTTACCTCATTCTGCGCATCAATATGGGCCTTGTGCGCAAGTAACAGCTCCACTAGAGATTTATTAGGAATGACGGCAGCCAGGTGAAGGGCAGTGTTGCCGCCGGGACCTTTGAGGTCAGGGCTGGCACCATGCTCCAGCAAAATAGCCACACAGTCTTTGTGCTGGCGCTCTACTGCCTGGAAACAAGACACAAAGGAGGAATAACTTCCAACATCTACATTTCTCTCTGACAGAACTCCCGCATCTTCCCAACACTGCAAAGTGTGAGCATCTTCAAAGATTAGGCAACATACGCCTCTTCACCGCTGACTACAACATATCTGTTTCTACACAGGACTGCGTAAAGAATGATGCAAGGTCTATATTGCTCGGTGCATAACTGATAAGCCCCACGTACAACAGTGTGACCTATTCCACATACCTTCATCAGCGGCGATTTCTGAAAACTGTCACAAGGATTTAGCTTGCACTTTTTTCCTGCTAAAAATCGAACGACAGCTGCGTGGCCGTTCGCACAAGCAAGATGCAGAGGCGTCCTAGAAATTAAACGTGTTTGGTTAACACGGACACACACAGCTGAAGACGTCCTTTCAGGCTGTGGTACCCACCGCATAAGGCCACAAGCCTCAAATGGCAAAAACTAAGCCGAGAGCAAACTCTCTCCTGCCAGAGCTGGTGGCAGCACTTGCACACCTGAAGCCTGGGGCTGGCTAGGGAAAATCCCCAACACATCCACTGAGTCAGGAGGAATTTCCTCAGCTGTGCCAATGAACCTGCACAACCAGACTCCTGTGCCCAGGCACTGGTCCCTGCCTCCGGCAGGGCTGCCCGGCCACCTGGCGCGGCGAGGGAGAGCGCGTCTTGGCAGCCGGGAGTCTACGGAGGCTACACAGGGGACTGGGGAGTCTGCGTAAGGCCTTGGGTTTTCCCCGGTCAGTCCCGTGCCAGACGGGTCCCAGCGACAGAGGGGACGGGATTTCGAACAGCAACGGGAAGGCTGTACCGTCTCTTCCCGCGACCCCATGCCCTGCTCCAGCAGGCCGCTCTCTCTGGCGACAGGAGAGGAGCCGCCTCTGCTCGGACAACGGCCTGCCGAGCTCCGCAGGACATTCACGACAGGGCCCGGGCCGGCAGAGCACCGCAGGGCAGGGCAGAGCCGAGCATCCGCCCCCTCCCGTCCCCCTGGGGCACCCGTCCGGTAAGGGCCGCCGCTGCGGAGCCGCCCCTGCTCCTCAGGGCGTTTGCGACCGTCGCGGGCTTTGCCCGGCTCTTTCCACCGGGGCTGGGGGGGAGGCTTCGCGCCGGGCACCGCCCGCCCCTTACTGCTTCTCCGCGTCCCGCTCGTTGATGCGGAACCACTTCCGCCACCAGCGCCGCTGCAGCCGGGCCAGGTCACCGCTGGCGGCCGCGCAGTGCAGCCCGCCCCGGCGCTGCTCCCGGGGCTCGGCCGCGCGGGGCGCGGGAGCGCTGCCGGGCGGCGGCCGCCCCCGCAGCCTCCTGAGGAGCCCGATGAGCCTCTGCATGCGGGAAGCGGCCGGCGGGCTCTGCCGAGCCCCGGGCGGGGAGGGGGAGAGAGCGGGGAGAGGGCGAGAAGAGCCAAAAAGAACCCCGAGCGGCCCCCGGTGCCTCCCGACGCTGCCGCGCTGCCGGTCCCGCCGCGTCGACGCCGGCGCTAAGCAACCGCGTCGGCGCTAAGCAACCGCGCCAGCAGGGGGCGACCTACCAGCGGCGGGGGGACGTCACGGGGGGCGTCAGAGGGGAGGGGCGGGGCGAGGCCGGCCCGGCGGGGCCCGGGCGGCCGGACAGGGGCTCTGAAAATGCGGCGGTTTCGACTATTGAACGGTTGAAAGTTAGGCTGTCGGAGGATGCGTCCTTGGGTGCGTCGGGAGAGGTGGTGGAGTAAAACACGGCGGGGGTGGCCGCGGGCGGGGCTGCTGACAAACCGTTGGGCGTGCGGCAAAGCTTCGCCCTGTCCCACCGCTGCACTTGTCACCGAAATGGGGAATGGAAACGCCTTAACGCCGGTAACGGTCAGGCATTACTTTCTTCAGCCGGGGGCATGAGGGAATCATTCCACCTGACATGTCCACCGCGCGTTACAATAGCCAAAGCTTGTATCGCTCTAACATACATATTCATGAAATTTCCTAAACTCATTATCATATTTACGTAGCTATTACCCACGAGGTTTAGGTCTCGGGGAGGCTTCCACAGGGCCCCTTGGTGGTCTCTAGCCGTCTCTGGCGGTCTTCGGGGAGGAGCCTTTCTTGAACTTTGCATTTTTGAATTGGCCTTTCTCTGGTTGATGTCTGCGCTTTCTTACCTCCTGTCTAGCTTCAGCTAGTTCATTATTTCTCAGAGGGCCTTAATCTTCAAGGACAGGGGTTCCTGATCAGGAGTCTCTCTCAATTTACGCATTTCCCAGGTGGTGGTTACCACGCTTGCCTGGCTCAACGACCTTTGTGTTCCAGGTGTTCGACTGATCGCTCAAGTTCTTCTAGTAACCTAAACAATTATTTTCAGTTTTCCTTCAACCCATTTTCCAACTCACGGCTGATGCATGAGCTGTGTTTGCCTGGCCGCACACCGCTGTCTCTGCCGCTCCTGCCCTCCCCGGCCGATATAGCATCGGCTTCTGCCGGGACTCTTTCTTTCTTTTTTTTTTTTTTTTAATGGGTTTCGTTTTTTTTTTTTTTTTTTTATTTGTTTGTTTGGGTTTTTTTGGCGGGGGGGGGGAGGGGAGGGCGGATGTGTGCGTGTTTTGCTGCTCGCCTGCGCTCGCGCTTTAGCCGTTAGAGGGCTGGGAGTGACGGGGCCCCGCCGCCCCGGCCGTGCGGCGCCGATACGGCGGGTCCCAGCGCGGCGGCGGCGGCGGCGGCAGCGCCAGCCCGGGGCTTCCCGCTCGGGGAGGGACGGAGGACGGACGGACGGACGGACGGACGGAGGGAACGCCTCCCGCGGCCGCGCCACCGCCCCCCACCCGCGGTGCGGCCGCGCGGGGGATGGCGGCGGGCGAGCGGCGGCGGCGGCTCCTCCCGGGCTGGATGGGGGCGGCGGGGGCCGAGCGGGCGGTGGTGGCTCCCCCCAAGGCCGGGCGGCGGCGGGCGGCGGCGGGGCCGAGGTAGCGCCGCGGCGGGGGCGGCGGCGGGGGCGGGGGGGGGCGAGGCCGGGCCCTGCCCGCGCTGAGTGTCTCCCCGTGCGGTGCCCAGGGCGGCGGAGGCGGTGGTGTACTGCATGAACGAGGCGGAGCTGGTGGACGTGGCCCTGGCGGTCCTGGCCGAGGTGAGCCCGGACCGCCCCCCCCCGGGGTGGGGACGCGGCCCTGGTCGTGTCCGAGCGGGGCCGGGAGGGCTCCGGGGCGCGCTCGGGGAGCGCTGCCGCCCCCGGCTGCCTGGGGGCCCCTCTCCGGGAGGCGGGTGTGGGGGCGCTGGCGAACGCCGCCCGGGTGTCCCGATTCCTTCGTCCTCTCCCCGGAGCGTGCCGGGGCCGGCGGAGCTGCCTTCGGTCGACAAAAGCAGCTTCCGCCGGGCAGGTGGGGACTGGCGAGGGGTGTGCCCCCCCTTCCCCCTCGGGGTGCTCCCAGGGTCGAGTCGTGCACAGCCCGGTCTGGTGGTTTACCTTTTGGTCAGAATCTACAGTGCGAGGAAGGTGAGGAGAAGGCCCCGTCGCCGAGTGAAGAGGAGCGGGAGCACCAGGCAACGCCAGCCAAGGCTCCTGGAAGCACAGCCAGTGCGGGGGAAGCCGGCGACCGCGGTCCGGCTCTCCCATCGCCTCCTGATACCGGTGCCGGTGCCTATGCAGAGAGAACGGGCCGGGAGGACACTGAGGAAGATGCTCTGAAATACGTCAGGGAGATCTTTTTCAGCTAACGTTCCCCTCCTCGGAGGCTCCCTGGGAGCAAAGGGAACAGTGGAGGGGAAGGTGTCCCCTCCCACAGCCCTCAGGATGGTGAGAAGAGGGCCTGGAGTGGGCTGTGTATCTGCCGTGTTGGTGGCCTGTGAAGCTGGTGGGAGGCCCGTGAAGGCTATGGGGGAAAAGGGGGCACTCACTTCTCCCAGTGTGTGCTGGGTTCACTGGGGTTTGGCTCCAGATTAGATTATGTTCATTTCTGTTTGGCATCTCAGAGCATGGACAGATTAAAGAGGACGTTTGGGTTTCTGTGAGTGTCCCTTTGGTGAGTTGGTGTTGGGACTGGAAGGGGGTTGGGGGTTGCTGGACCTGTAAGGCCTTTGCTGGCTCTGCAGAACCAGATAGTCATGGTTCAGCCTTGGGGCTCTTTTGTCCTTGCAGTCCCTCTGTGACAGCTGCAGTGGGACCTGGCAGGCCTGTCCCCATCTGGCCTGATGCTGAATTTGCCTCCAGGCTTGGGCAGGCATCCCAAAGCTGAGGAAGACATGGGTGGGAGCAGATTGGCAGGGGCAAGGACCATCCTGAGGGGCCTGACCCCATTGCAATGTACATGGGGGGGTCTAGGAAGGGATGAGGGTGGCTCAGCGTCCTCTTCCCGATCCAAACGGGGAGATGAACACACCACGTGAGGCTGAAGCAGATGTGAGAGCTTTTACTGAAATGAAGAATCAGTCAAACCATCATCACCAGGCACATGCACACCAAGACTGCAGCAGAAAAAAGAACGGACCCTCATGTCTCTGAAGGGGATGAGCGGGAAAGCAGGCGCTTCTTTGTGCAAGCTTACAGACATGGCATGGAGTGGTGCTGTGCACCGCCGTGGTGGAGAGACCCAGCCAATGCTCTGGTTTTGATGGCCCAGCTGGGGCACTGCACCCTGGCCTGTGGCAGTCCTGGCCCAGCTGCCGGAGCGCACCCTTGCGCGGGGCGTCCGTTGGTCTGAGCTAGCTTTGTGGTGAGCTGTCCTTGCAGAGATCCAGTTCTGGAGTCTCACAGGCTGCCGGACTGCTAGGCTCAGCTCCGTAATATCAGTGGGGACAAACCTGGGGCTCTGCACCAAAATCCTCTGCTTCTTCACAGAACGCGCCTCCTCGTTAGGGCTGTGTTCAGCAAGTTGTTAGGCTGCCCTTTCAGGTGCTCTGCTGCTGCTGGGGTTGAATGTGGGCCACTTCACCCTAATGAACTAAAGCAGAGTAGTCAGTCCAGATGTTATTCCAGCAGGTGAAGTACAGGTGCTGCTGCTGAAGAGAGTATTTCCAGTGCACTTCAGGAGCTGCCGCTGCTGTGATGGCAGTGTGAAGCCACAGCTCCTCAAGTCACAGTTGCCTCAAAGGCAGCCCTGGTGAGTCTAGGCAGTGGAGAAGAAGCAGAGTCTCTTTGGGCAATTCCAAGAAAGGAAGCCTGTTTGCATCTCTGCCTGCCTATGCTTAGGCTAGATATGTCCGGAGGGCTGTATCCACTGTGTGCTGGTTCTGATCTGTCCCCTTCACTGTCCTCTGCGTCAGGGCCAGAAATGTTGTCGCTTTGCTGTTGTGGCCCAGGCTGAAGGGTGTGTTACATGCTGCTGTTTCTGGGAAGCTTCCACGATGTGCTGTGGGTGTTGGTGTCTGCTGCCTGCTCGCTTCAGGAGCACAGCACACAGCCGTGTGCCAGAGCATGGCTGGACATGGGCCTTTGAGTTAAGGATCAGATTCCTGCCAGTGACTAAAGCTGTGGTGGGATTACTGTTTTAAAGCAGGTTATCGATGGCTCTTGCATCTTCTTCACTGTCAAACCTCAGTGGGCAGGGCCTTCTCAGTAAAAGGGCTTTGACAGTGGGAGGTGTGCTTGACCCAGCTGAGATACATAGCAGCAGTGAGAGTCTGGAGCAGTAGCAAAGCCTGAGTCGCCAGCAGTGCCAGGAAGCCTCCAGTGAAATCAGAGGGGTGAATCCATGGTGAGGTTTGGAAAAGAAACATACCCAGGCCTCCAGACAGGATTATCGTCTTGATGATAAATGTGATGAGAATCACCTTCCAGCTCCCTCTCTCATCTGTGCACTTTGCATGTACAACAAAAATGGGGTAGAAGATGCTGAGGACGAGGCAGGAATACACACAAACCCTGGCTATCACTATTTCTGGTAGGCTGATGCCCATCACCTGCAGATGCTTGTACTCCAGGCACTGCAGCTCCCCAGCTGTCTCATTCCACAGGCAGAAGTTGTAAAAGCCAATGCGTTTGTCAGGAAGGTTGACCAGGTTCCCAGCTTCCCACAGCAGCGCGTAGAACATCAAGGCCAAGGTCCCGGCAGCCTTGAGTAGGGTCAGGACATAGAGCAGGTGCCCAGTGTACCTCCATTGCAGCAGACCCATCCTGGTGCAAGCATGGTCTCTTGATATCATGGTAAAACCTGCTGCAAAACATGAAGCGGGGGGACCCCTTGGTTGTTGCATGTTCCGGTACCCTCCCCAAGATGTGCTCTGAGCCTGTGTCACTGAGTTCTTGGACTCCCCTTGCAACTAGAAGAGGAGCATCTCGAATCCTGCCTCTGACTGTGCTGTGCATCTGTTACGAGGTTGAGGGGATGCATTTTTGGTCGCAGCAAAGGTGGCTTGATGATGTGGGGATGCATTTTTGGTCGCAGCAAAGGTGGCTTGATGATGTGGGGATGCATTTTTGGTCGCAGCAAAGGTGGCTTGATGATGTCCCATGCGTGGACTAGCACTGGGAGGGGACAGTAGGGCTCCCTTAGCTTCACACATGCCCTTTGCACCATGATCTCACATTGGACAAGAGAGGCATTTGTCAGCAAACTGAAGTGATAGGAGCAAAACACTGCTGTCTGGTAAGCAGGGGATTAAGAGCTATTCTGGGAGAATGCTTTTCTTTCAGGTCTGGTCAGACAAGGACGTCCCTTGTGATCGTTGGACTACTGAGTAAAATGCAGGTATGACCGGGTCTGAAGTGCAGGGCTTCCCCTGTGTGTCCCCCTCCACCCCGTAGCTCTGGGACACCTGATGCCACTGATGCCACGCATTTCCAGCATCCACATGCCCCTGAGGCCCTTGCATGCCCATACATATCTGAGCACAGCAGCGCTGATCACCCGCAGCCCTGTTCCCCACTGAGGCTGGCCAACGGTGCTCCTCTGTCCTGGTTGCCTGAGGACCAATTCCCCACACAGACAGGCAGCTGTACACCACAAAGAGGCACCCTGGGCCCACCTGCAGCCACTCACCCTCCCCTCAGGCCCGGGGAGATGGGTGATATGGTGACAGACCTGTGATTGCCACGCTCCTCACTGTTCTCTCGGACTGCCTGGCAAACCCGGCTCCCTGCGCTTCTCCCAGAAATGTGGACTGACTTCAGTGCCCTCTTGCAGGCTTCTGCTTTGTGCTGAAAACCAGAGAAGTGGCATCAGGAAGGGGCATCACAGCACTGGCCACCCGGGTCTGCACAGAGGCACAGACACAGGGCAAGGAGCTGAGACCTTGGCTTCAAGCTCAGCTTTCAGCTTGAGGCTCTGCAAATAACCCCTTTCCTGCCTTTGCCAGGCATTATCTCCTGTGAATCAGTTACTACCTTCCCTCAAGAAGTTCACAAAGTTGGTCCTGCTCTCTCCCCTTCATTGCCCATTACCTGGTGGTATATCATTCCGATGCCCTGTGTGTCCCAGGCCATTAACCCCACAGCCACTGGTGGATTTGGTACAGCCCCTGAGTTTTAGCGTGTCAAGAGAGACCTCACTCAATCTGTACCCAGTGCCTGGCTGCAGTGCTGGTGACTGGAGACCCTTCAGCAACCCCCTCCCTCTCCCTGTCTCCCCGGATTCTTGGGAATGGGGCACCTATGTTTAATGTGCACAGGGATGAAACTTCTCTGTCCCAAACTTCTCCTCCTCCACACAGTCATAGCCAGGAGGAGCATGTGCGCAGCGCGGAAGGGTGTCACAGTGTCCAGACACTGACCTATCTCCTTCCTCTGGTCAGTACCTCACTTCTTGTAGCTTCCCTTGGAGGTCTTCACAACATGCTTCTGGAAAGACTGGAAGGTCGCACCGAGGATGTCCATTGCTCTGAATCTACAATGAAGACACAGATGACCAGGAAAATATCCATGCTCGGGCCCAGAGTGCGCTACAGAATGAGACCTCACACATGTTATTTCACCAGGGTTTGTCTGTACACGTGCTCTCCTGCAGTCAGGCATTGCTGCTCTTCTCCCTGTCCTGCAAGGGCTCACGCCTGCCCACTGTTCTCCCTGCCATCCTGCCTCACAGCCCTCAGAGGGAGAACAAGCTGTGCTTGGAGGGGGGGCTCTTGATTAGCTGACCAGCTCCCCAGGGATTTCTGTCAGTGCTCAGAGCTGGGACTAGTACAGCCCAGCTGGCTCCCGGCCCTGCCCACCCACCAGCCCTTGCTATCCTGTTTCTGTAGACTGGTTTCCTAAGGAAGGCAGGCTTGTTGAAACATGGGCATTTGTTCAATCATCTCATGTTACCTTTTACTTACCTCCACCTCCATAAAATAGAAAAGCAATTAAAAATTGTCCTAGTTGCACATGCTTACTAGAGAGGGGACAGAGAATTAAATTCCTAGCAGGTTCATGGAAATATATGGCAGGGGTGGAGGACGGCCACCTCAGAGACCCTGTGCTGCTATGTGATCTCTGCCTGTGTGAGAGCCTGGGGAAATCCCGTGGTATTTCTGTCCTCTCCTCTGTTTGAGGCTGGTGTCTGTAAGGACTGATTTTCTCTTCCCAGCAATGTCCCTCCGTCCACTCTGCCAAATTGCAAGCAGATTTGCCCTTCAGCCTCCTGCTGCCTCCCCAGCAGAGCCCACCAGGTAAATCCCTGTCCCCGGGTGTGACTGTGACAGGGACCGAAACGCGCCTGGTGTGGGTGCCCTGTGCCAGCTGGGGCAGAGAGCGCACGGCTGGCCTGGAGGTGACGTACGGTTTGGCAATGGAAGCTGAGACCTGGCGCCCTGCCACCAGCACAGCCACAGGCACGGCATTCGTGAACCCTGCAGCTCGGCCAAGAGGCTGGTTTGGAGGCAGCCTGGCTGAGAAGCAGGAGATAAACAGGAAGGAGCTGTCTAGCTGGGGCTTTCTCAGACATCTGCAGCCTCCCCTCACCTCTGAGGAGGCGCCTGTGCCTTTGGATGAGTCTGTGGCTCTGCCTCAAAGGTGCAAGAAAGAGGAACCCAAGCGCCTCACAGCGAGCCCCTCAGGGCAGGCATCACGGGAAGCACTGGACTTCACCATGGGAGAGCTCTGTGCTTCAGCCTCCTGGGCAGAGAGGGGCTCCATGTGCGTGGCTCAGGAGCTCCCTGGGGTGTCTGTGTGTGAGATGGGGCTCGTAGAGACCCTCTGTGCTGCTGGGGCTGCAGGGCCCTTCCCTCTGCTGGCTTGTAGGCAGGTGAGCACCTTCCCAGGCTGGGGCTGTGCCTTCCCCGCAGCGAGCTGCTGGCTGAGTGCCTGGGCCCCTCTGTGCAGACACAAACATCTTTGTGGAGCTGCCGGACCCCACTGCAGTGAACACGCTGAATGTAAAGGGGTGAGGGAATGGGCATTTTCTCTTGCACTGAAGAGCCCCCCAGAATACTTGGCTTTCTTGCATCCCCCCTCCCTGGCTGCTGGGGGGAGTAATGCTGTGCAAGAGCAGTGGGAAAGGAAGGCAGCTTTGGACTTGGCACCTTTCCTTCAGGCCACCTGCTCCCCCCACCCCCCAAGGATCCCTCTTTCCCCCTCAGGCAGGATCAGCTGTGGGGAAACCACAGGTGAAGAAAGGCTGCTGACAGGCTGAGGATTGCTGGCAAACAGAAACCAGCCAGTGGCACATGGACCACAGGGCAGAAAAACCGCCCCAAAAGGTGCTACAGCTGGAAAGGGACCTGCTCCCTCCCAGACATTTGCACCCTGCAGCACCACCTCTCTTGTCAGCTCCCCCTGATGCCAGTGGCATTAAAGAGGTGAGGGACCCGGTGGAGGATACTTACGGATTGCCCATCTGCGTGGGTGAGGAGCTGAAACACGCTGAAGAGGGCTGAGGTGCCGCCCTGGTGAGCTGAGCTGGTCTGTGGCTGCTGACAGGTCCCGTGCTAGCTGGGTTCTGACACCACTGCTCCTGTTACGTGACTGGCAGCTGCCTCCTGCTTTCTGTTTCGATTTTGAGGGTCACGGGAGCCTGATGCGGTGATCTGATACTGCGTCATCTGAATATGACTAAGAAAACAAGCTGAGCTCAGCCCCCACCGTCCAAGCGGGGGGCAGGCTTTCTCCTGGCTGTGCTAATCAACATAACTGACTGGGCTAAGCTCACCCAGGAGAATTGGACTACTGGAGTGGCTTGGGTGTCCGTGGGGGCTGAGATGAGTTTGTTTTGTTTGGACATTTCTGTAGAGGTAACTGACTGTCCCAGTGCTGACTCCAGTACCGCAGCACTGTTGGAGTTCACTGAGCACTTGGCCCATCCTGCACATTGAGCGCTGCTCCCCTCCCTCTTCTTCCCACGCTCGGCTTTGCCCGAGCTCCCCCTCACCCACTGACACAGTGCCTACGCAGGCACAGCTCTGGAGAAGTGGCAAGCTGCCTGCTGCAACAGGAAACCTGTGGAACCTCGAGTGATGTGAGGGGCAAAACTCTCCTTCCTTTAGTCCTCCTGGACAGATCCAGAACCATTTATTTGTCCTGTCCTATAAGCAGCCTTGGTGGTGGGTCTGTTAGAGGGGTGTGTTGAGGGGTGATACATGTGGGACACCTAGCCATGAAGGTGTTTACAGAGTCCCACATAGTAGTTTCACATTTAGGCATGGTCTGGAAACCTCCAGCTGGTACATACGTCGTGAGCCTGTAATATTTACACTCACACCCAAGAGCACAAGGGTGAAAGGAAATATAGGAGGAAGCCCTAAGAGAAGCTCAGTGGATAGAGCCACCAGACAGGTGACAGTGGGGAGGTGCCTTCCTATCTGGCTTGTGTGTGTGGAGTAATTTTAGCGTTGAGAAGGACAAGGATATGGGTCGAAGTGGTCCAGATCATAGATGGCTTGGGCAGGGGTTATGGTGAGAGAAATCAGGGGTGGGGGTGGAAGGCTTGCAGCAAATAAAGCCTAGTGTGCCACAGGTGCTGAGCTGAATATGGTGAATGGTGGGAACACAGAAGGAAGCCTTGGGGCTGCATATAGCTGAGATCTAACATTGCGGCTGCTGGCTGGGCAACTGAGGTATGAACCGAGACCACTGAGGCGAGACCTCTGTTCCAGTGAGGAAAAGTGCACTGACAGGAGGCATGTTTGTGCTCTCAAGAGGGTTGGTCACGCAGTTTTGCCTCATGCCAATCACTTTTCTGTTGTTCAGGAAGGAAATGGGTGTGTGATTTGGATCTGGTGATCGGCCAACTCCTTAGCTGACCTCAGCACCACAGGGGAGGTTGCCGTTTGGCTGCCACAATCGTGAGGCACAAGCAGCTCTTTCACAAATATCCTCACTTCTCATTGGGGTCCTGTTTGCTGGAGCAATCAGGATGACTGCTGCAGTGGGTCTGCTCCACCATGCCACAGCACTTCGCCCTCGAGCCACTGTCCTCCTAGATGGGTGTCTGATCCCCTTCCTATCTCCTACGCCTCAGCTTTCATGAGTGTGATTAGATGGCCACACATCCTGGCTTTAGGCTTTGCACACCCCTCCATCTCCCTGGCCTTCTATGCACAGTTCAGAGAAATAAATACACCATTTGGGAATGTTACTTTTGGAGTGTGGCATCTTCCTGGCCAGAGCTGGTTGCCTGATTGTGCACCTATGGCAAAAGTGCTCCTCAGTGTTTCCTGAGGAGCCTTGTGTCTCCTCCCCTGGAGGGTCTCGGTCTCTGCTGCTTGTAATGCCTCCTGGGATGCCAAG